GAAATGTCAGCCATTGTTACCGATGTTTAAACGAAACAAATACTTGCTCACTTTCGATGACATTGAAAATCAATCAAGATAAGATGTTCAGTATTTTTATCAAATATTAATAAGAATGTTGTCTGATATCTGAGTAACATATAAATAGAATGGTGCATGACGTCAGCAGAAAAAACATACACAACGGACGTTATTCTATATCTGTGTTCCAGGTTCCATTAATATTGACAAAAGATACAATACAGGTTTTCTTCTCCTCTCTGTTTATATTCTGAAACAGCTTTCAAAAATCATAGTTATTTGAATGATTTACGAAAAGTCGTGATGTTTGTTACCTGAGGTAACGTGCTAAAGGTTATAGGTCAACAAGTCCCAAAAATAACGTCATATTATTGTCTCGTGGTCTGAGATGTATCTTTATTCGTGTGAATACAATCAAGATTCGGCTAATGGGAGAACATGATGCAAAATATGAATATTTGTTGATGGACTCACAGTTTGTAACAAACGCTTTCATTGGCTAAGATTTTCAAGACTTCAAATACATGTACTCTAAAAATATCAGTACCTATATACATTCTTATCTAAAATGAAGTAGGTTTGAAACAACAAGAGGTCTATAGGGCTTGTATCACTCACCTAGGCGAAGTATGTGTGGCTGGTATTGCGTCTTTAAAACCAAGGTAAAGACTGCTAAACATCCAAGCACACATTACACAACATTATTGTTTCCTTCCAGATCCCAACCCTCTGTCCCTTGCATTAGTCAAACCATTCATATTTCAAATCAATTGATCCCTATAGGTGAATAAGGATTTTGAAAAATTTGCTTTATTTCCAATATCGGGGCCCGCCCCTCCCGCCCCAGGGGGCCGAGACAAACTGTTAATAAAAAATGGATTCCCCTTTGCCCAAGAATGCTTAGGACCAAATCTGACCAAAATCCAATACTTCCTACAGGAGAAGTAGGTATTTAAAAACTTGACTTTATTCCCTTTATTGAGACACGCCCCATTGGGATTGAGGCCCACCATTTGTACAAAATTGATTTCCTTTCACCCAAGAATGCTTCATAGCAAGTTTGGGCAAATCCAATCATTAATGTGAAAGGAATAGGATTTTTAAAGAATATTTGCTCTCTTTCCCCTCTTGGACCCCGTCCCTCCTGCCCCAGCAGTCTGAGACCCACCAATTATACAAAATCGATTCCCCTTTGCTCAAGACTGAGCAAACTCTAATTATAAGCGTTCCTACAGGAGGAGTATAATTTTAAGATTGCCCGCTTTTGGACACCCCTCCAAAAAAAATTTATATTTTTGTTCGTGTTGAATCCAAAACTGATGAATTTGATGAATTAGAGGTTTCCAATGGTTACCTCTATATTTAAAAAAGTAGATCTTAATTTAAACATAAGTCTAATACTTTGGAATTTATTGGTTTGACTTAAACGCTCGCACAAACACATCGGTAGACTATGTCATAATCGGGGAAAATCTCTAAACATCCTTAATATAGACTCTTCCGACGTAAACAATATCCATTTCTATTTGTGTCCAATAACATTCCACTTGATAGAGCTAACAAGGATGTTGGTCGCACTAATATGTACGGTACTAGATTACCTGATCTGTGTAAAACATCTTCACTACAGGTAAAAGGTTAGGCTATATCAAGACAAAAGTGTTGGAATACCAACTTGTAAAAAAGTGGGCGTGGTAGAGTATCTATTGTACATAATTTTATTAGCAATTTTGAAATGTGTGACTTTAACCCAATGTTCTCTGATGTCCATAATCGATTTGGTATTTTGGTATTGATTATACAGCTGGAAATGTTAAGAAAGAACATTTTCCCATTGAACATAAATCCGTCTAATTCGTTAAATGAGATCAAACTAGAACAGTTAAGGTTTAATAAATTAAAGAGTATAAGCGAACACAAGTTATGTCAGATTTTTTGTAACATATTTTTAGTACAGCAAAGGAGACAAAGGTGTTAAAAGGTACGTAACTACAGATAAAAAAACGAAACCGAAAGTAAAGGCTAAAAATAAACCCCGATTTCATAAGAAGAGTGAAGAAATAACACTTGATGACTTGATGAATTGAAAAAAATATGTTAAGGAACTCAAAACATCTAAAGCATCTGGTATTGATGATATTAAATGTACGTATAAAAAAACTCACTCGAGGAGGTATTAATAGTTACAAGTAAATCGTTTGACGTGACAGATGACTCCAGAATAATCCCCAAGTCCTGGACCATAGGTATAATAAAACTCACCTATACAATAAAGGTGACCCAATGGATCCAGGCCAATACAGGGGCATATCATTAATTAGCTCTTTCGATAAGTTATTTACACGTATCCTGAACAATAAGCTCACCTTTTACTCTCTCTATAAAATTGAAGGAAAATATTACATAAAAATCAAATTTGTATTCTCTGTCTTCCTCAATGACATTGAAGACTTCTTCCGTAATAATGGTATACTTCCTCTGGAACAATTAAAAGACAAATTCCAGGGTGAGCTTAACATTTTAGTGAAACTTTTTGTCCTGCCTTACGCTGATGATACTATAATTCTTTTCGATACTGTTGGAAGGTTTACAGAAAGCTTTTGAAGTTTTTCATAGATATTGTAAAACGTGGAAACTTGGAGTTAGATTGAAAACGAAAGTAAAAATAGCCCTAGGTTTAAAACAAACAGTCAAAAAATGAATGAGTTGACAGTTTTAATCACTTGGGTGTAGCATTTAATTGAAATGATCATTTCTATATTTGTAAGTGGAATCTGTGTGAACAACCCCAAAAGGCTATGTTCTAAGTTTATCGGAAAATTTAAACTCAACATCTACCTTTTGACTAACAACACATATTATTTAATACTGTAGTGAGATAAATGACCATCCATTTTGTTATTATCTGTGTTAATAAATGATGTTACCTTATGTAATGCATTTTAATGTACCGAGGAAATCCAGTGATCTTGTAAATCTTCCCCCAAGGATGCTTCTGACCATTTTTGGCCAATACCCGCTTCGTCGTTCATGACAAGTAGCGATTTGTAGAAAAATGACAGACGGACGACGAACGCCGTAGTCTGTCAATAGCTCACTTATCCTTCGGGCCTGGTAGGCAAATAATGCCAGATATTTGAGAATTAAAGTACATCAGGAACGATAAAGAATTCAGATATCGCACGCTTGATAGACATAAATGTCCCGATTGTACTATTAATTTCAAAAATCTTCCCCAATTTGTAATAAAGTTGCCGACAAAATCGCCAATATATAGATAACTTCTTTCACAGTTTCATTCATCTTTTGTACGACACAGATTTTTCTATTCCCATTTTCTAGCAAGTTTTAAATGCCCATCGAGTAGGCCTAAATATCAACGATAACTAGAACGATGCTGCATGGCTGGTTATGAATAACATTTCATTTAAATTTATACATTTTGATTTTCCAGGCGTATGTAATCCTTTTTTTATTTTTATTGTTTGTTTGTTCTTTCTAACGGATATTGCAGTACTAATATGACTTCAGTTGAGTACGTTTCAAGGTAGCGTGTCTATTCGCCAGCAGTGGTTAGTAGACGGAATGCACACCAATCTACAAATAATGGTTTCCCATGAAAGCTGATCTTCGAAATCAATACACTTGATTTTCAAACAGCCTCGTGCTTGTGTTGTGTGCGAGTCATCCTCGAAAATTCCTCAGTGCAAAGATCGTTAGTGATCGTCATCCCTGATATTTCGCTTTAGGGAAGTGTGAGTTACCTCCCTTGAACTGTTACAGTGTTAATTTATTTCCACGGTGTTTCTGCGAGATGATATTTCATTCGATCCACATGACTATATTCAGTCCTTGTCAATAAAAGTTGTTGAAATGAAAATTATTTGTTCATTTGACATTCTTAGGGTTGGTAAAATATTTTGCTTTTTTTTTTTTTTTAATTTCAAAGATGTCCTTTCAAAGTAAAATTGTCACTTGAACTATTTACTTTTGAAAAATTTATCTTTTTAATCTGTCGGTCATCAAATCGTTTTCCAACATTCTGATCAGTCTCAAATAAGTGCAAAGTTTTTTATGGTGATCAAGACAAACCAATATGAGCTCTTCAAGGAAAAACAATAGGAAACATTTACTTATCAACTTAACATCAGTTTTACAAAAGTAAAACAATTCAGGAATGATGTCAACAGAGACTAAAGCCTTTGAAAATACAAAATATAGGTCCAGGATGCAATATATAGACATTATCATTTTTTATACAGCTTATTGGTAAGTCAATTGGATGACACACTGAGATAAAAGTAGACAAGTCTATAAGCTTAGAGCGATTGTCTTGGTAAATTCTCTGTCATCTCTCTACATAAGTAATACCCCTGAAAGTGACACTGACAAATTTGTGGAAGTCTGAATTTTTCTATACCATGACCATCCAGATGCTATCTAAAATTTAAAGATTTAGGTTTTTTTTTTCACATTTCTGTATTTTTTTTCTTCTCATTTCTGTGACCCTTTCTTTAGTTCCTTCATAGGTCCATAATAATTATTAGCTTGAACTTTTCATTTTCAGCTTAATTGTATTAAATTGGATCATTGCAGTTGGTTGTTAATATTTTACAACAAAAGTAGATCTTTTCAAAACTCGCAGCCCCCTAGTGTAATATCTGTAAATTTCATTTATGATACAAACCATTTGATCAGAAGCAAAAGAGGATGGGCAGAAAACAGAATTCAATTGAAAGGACGGCAGACTTTTAAGCATGAAGCTTGAAATTTTCTTTTTCTTTTTTTTTTATATTTGTTTCCCATTTACCAGTTCTTCATTGAGAAATGTTTCTCTACATAGCCTCTAAAAGAATGCCAAAAGAGTGCGAAATATAAACATACATATCTTATTTCAAGGATTTGAAGCAGGCTTACATAGTTTATCTGCATTCTATAATTGGAAAGATTGGTATGATAAACTGACAAACATAGACAAATCTCAACCGATCTTTTAATAAATAAATGAAATATAAAATTTGTGTAGCAAAGCAAATATTAAATAAAAATACACTCAACTGAAGTGAAGAATGAAGCAAATATAATGAAGCAAAAATGTGAATTCTCATGAAGAAAATAGTTGATTCTGTTAACTGGCTTTGGTTTAAATATCAACAATTCAATTTTGCATTGCAATACAGCATTAGTAAGAAATATGAGGACACTTTGGAGAAGTCTTGGGTGATATTGTCTATCATACAGCACCACCTCGATTCTGAATCACCTGTCTGTAGATAATACTTATATAAATTGCTAGTAAAAGTAGAATAAACAGGTCATCCAGAAACCCGAATATTCCAAACATTGCTTCTGGTATAATGTCCAACGGAGATATAAAGTAAACCAAGGCAGCCGCAAAACAAACAATGACTCGGAGACGAAACATCCATATTAGTCCACCAACAGAGAAAAATTCTCCAACAAAATGTCTCATTAATGTTGGCAGGTCCCGTAGATGTTCTCCAATCTGTCAACACAATCACACCAGGTTGATAGAACAGAGTTATTTAGCGTTATTATCAGCTTTTTGAAGTCATTATATTCATCCGCCAATGATTTTAAGGCCAGGTTTGGAAAGTACTTAACATCGCCCTCCCCAACTCTCCCCTGAATAATTTAACTTTCTTATACAAGAGGGCCATCGTTGCAATCTGTTTTTGTTTTTGTTTTTTTTGGTTTTTTTTAGGCTCAATAACCAACTTTTCATGGGTATATAGCACCACAGTCAATGTAATTTCAATGTTATAATATAGTGTTGTACATTGTATACTATAAACCCTTTCAGTGTTTCCATCTCTGTTTCCTCCATATTCCCATGTAACTGAACCTCATTTGTATCTATTCTTAACTTTCATCCCCTATTGGTGTAAGAGTAATGATTTTATGACGTACAACAAAAGATAAAGATTATACAATGCATAAGGAAAGTTTCTGAATTGACAGCAGGGTGATTCATGATGTTTATAGATCATGGCGTGTCTTATGTTGAGGGTAAAATTGACAGTAGAATGTTTTGTGATGTTTATGGTCAAACTAACAGCAGGGTGTTTGATGATACTTACAGCATGTTTTTAATATTTATGGTAAAATTAACGGTATGGTCTGCTATGATGTGTACAGTAAAATGGACAGCACATTTTTCACATTTAACGTCAAACTGACAATAACGCATTTTATCATATTTAGAGTAAAATCGAGAGCAGTGTGTTTTATGATGTTTACAGTAAAACTGACAGCATAGTGTTTTACGATATTTAGAGTTAAATCAATAACATGGTGTTTTACGATATTTAGAGTTAAATCAATAACATGGTGTTTTACGATATTTAGAGTTAAATCAATAACATGATGTTTTACGATATTTAGAGTTAAATCAATAACATGATGTTTTACGATATTTAGAGTTAAATCAATAACATGATGTTTTACGATATTTATGGGGGAAAATGATGTCAGAGAATTAGACAATATCTACAACGAAAATTGACAGCAGAGATGTTTTATGATGTTGATGATAAAAACTGACAACTGGGTGTCTTTATTATGTTTTTGATAAAAAATTGACAGCAGATGATATTGATTGATACAAGAATGTATGGACATGTTATACTTACAGATCTTGGCTGCCCTGAGAAGCGTCGGTTATACCTGCTTATTTCATTCATTATATTAGTTTTCTCTGGACTGTCATTATTGTTTTCCTCAACAGTAAATGCTAACAGAAGAAGTGTTACCTACAAAAACAATAACACGTACATACATACATCACGATCAGCAAAGAAAACAAGATGATTCTTTAAGTCAACATCATTTCTACCAATACAAAACATTTCAATATATCAATAACTGTTATACTTACCTGCAAAATAAAATGACATAACAACAGCTTTAATGGGCCTGTATCTCTCAATCATCTTGCAACTGTCACTAGTAATGTGGAGATCAAAACAAATATAATATCCTTAATTTTTTCATATTTTTTACATTTACAATGGAAAATTATATGGTTTTATTATTCTGTAAAGTGTACATCATTGTTAGCCGTACTGTGTGTACATCATTGTTAGCTGTACTGTGTGTACATCATTGTTAGCCGTACTGTGTGTACATCATTGTTAGCTGTACTGTGTGTACATCATTGTTAGCTGTACTGTGTGTAAATCATTGTTAGCCGTACTGTGTGTACATCATTGTTAGCCGTACTGTGTGTACATCATTGTTAGATGCACTATGTGTACATCATTGTTAGCCGTACTGTGTGTACATCATTGTTAGCCGTACTGTGTGTACATCATTGTTAGCCATACTGTGTGTACATCATTGTTAGCTGTACTGTGTGTACATCATTGTTAGATGCACTATGTGTACATCATTGTTAGCCGTACTGTGTGTACATCATTGTTAGCTGTACTGTGTGTACATCATTGTTAGCCATACTGTGTGTACATCATTGTTAGCTGTACTGTGTGTACATCATTGTTAGCTGTACTGTGTGTACATCATTGTTAGCCATACTGTGTGTACATCATTGTTAGCCGTACTGTGTGTACATCATTGTTAGCTGTACTGTGTGTACATCATTGTTAGCCGTACTGTGTGTACATCATTGTTAGATGCACTATGTGTACATCATTGTTAGCCGTACTGTGTGTACATCATTGTTAGCAGTACTGTGTGTACATCATTGTTAGCTGCACTGTATGTACATCATTGTTAGCCATACTGTGTGTACATCATTGTTAGCTGTACTGTGTGTACATCATTGTTAGCTGTACTGTGTGTACATCATTGTTAGCTGTACTGTGTGTACATCATTGTTAGCTGTACTGTGTTTACATCATTGTTAGCCGTACTGTGTGTACATCATTGTTAGCTGTACTGTGTGTACATCATTGTTAGCTGTACTGTGTGTACATCATTGTTAGCCGTACTGTGTGTACATCATTGTTAGATGCACTATGTGTACATCATTGTTAGCCGTACTGTGTGTACATCATTGTTAGCCGTACTGTGTGTACATCATTGTTAGCCGTACTGTGTGTACATCATTGTTAGCCATACTGTGTGTACATCATTGTTAGCTGTACTGTGTGTACATCATTGTTAGCTGTACTGTGTGTAAATCATTGTTAGCTGTACTGTGTGTACATCATTGTTAGCTGTACTGTGTGTACATCATTGTTAGCTGTACTGTGTGTACATCATTGTTAGCCGCACTGTGTGTACATCATTGTTAACCGTACTGTGTGTACATCATTGTTAGCCGTACTGTGTGTACATCATTGTTAGCTGTACTGTGTGTACATCATTGTTAGCCATACTGTGTGTACATCATTGTTAGCTGTACTGTGTGTACATCATTGTTAGCTGTACTGTGTGTAAATCATTGTTAGCCGTACTGTGTGTACATCATTGTTAGCTGTACTGTGTGTACATCATTGTTAGCCGTACTGTGTGTACATCATTGTTAGCCGTACTGTGTGTACATCATTGTTAGCCATACTGTGTGTACATCATTGTTAGCTGTACTGTGTGTACATCATTGTTAGCTGTACTGTGTGTAAATCATTGTTAGCTGTACTGTGTGTACATCATTGTTAGCTGTACTGTGTGTACATCATTGTTAGCCGTACTGTGTGTACATCATTGTTTGATATGGTTATCATCCTACTCCTACAACCTACTATAAGTATTGGCTGATGTCATTTGCTGAAACACTAAACTTAAAGCAACATACTGCTTAACAGATAACATGGCCTCAGGTATTAAAATATCAAATATTTTAATGGGGCAAAATTTTTGTGGTTTTTAAAAACATTTCATGGACACTTTAAATCTTTTTCTACATATTTTAAGAATTCGTGGACATAAGATTTCGTAGATCAAAAGTACCATGAAATCAACAAAAAAAAATTATGATTTTACGGCACATGTAACATGGATGCTTTGAAGTGAGCTGAAAAGATTCAATAACTCTTGAACCGTGAAAGGGGATCAAGGCCGTTCATTACAGCAAGCCAATAGAAGCATTTACAATAAAGTTATTTTTAACCTGTTGTGTGATAACTGTATCCTATTTTCACTAACAAGCTTAAAGCAATGATCTGAAGTGAAATTTATCATGTCCTAATTACAGTGAACTTGCTAATGTAAATCCTTAAATCCTGATGTGAAGGCCAAAGTTATAATGCATTTCACATTTCAACAGCTGGTACACGTCAAGTTTCTTAAGAGACAATTTTTATGGTAGAAATTACCTCAAGAACCAATACTGAAAATTAAAATGTTTCCTTTCTTGATCTAAAGCAACATACATTTATATGGTGATAAAAAAACATACTTGTTGTCGACAAACAGGACAAGCCACAGCTCCCAGCCAAGTGCCATGCTGCCAATATGCTATGATACAGTTACCTGCAAATAAATGCCACAGTTACATCCCTTCAACTGTAATGCAAGAGATGTTGCCAACTGTTATCATGTCAGTACCCTTGCTCAAGTATCTACACAAACAAGAGGTCATGATGAGTTATAACATTTTTATTATCGCTGCAAAATTTTGGTTTAACAGCTTGGATAACACTGAGAGCGTCTGTTTGCAATTACAACTCACAGCTGAAAGATCACATGATGTAACAACGTGACTGAATTTAAGTGTTTAATAAAGAGTTGAGATTTACTCACCACAGAAATAATGACCACAATTAGTGTCTACACCATACACCAGATCTCCCAGACAGATTGGACAATTAAGGTTTGTTTGCCGGTGGGCGTCTCTGGCTCGGTATGAATTTGATTGATTCTGATCTTCAGTGGACTGCCCTGTGCCATTTGAAGCTTGGTTTCCTTGGATTCTTTCTCGGGCAAATCTTACATTATCTTCATTGTCTGGATGGATATAATATTGTTCAGCTGTGTTTCTAAAAAAGAATTAAAACAAACTAAGCCCAACCATTCTATAAAATGTCACAAAAACCAAACTTGATACTGAACTATATACTTATTTATTTTACCATAATTGCTGATTAAGTTATTGTCAATAAATATCAGCTTGCTTGTTGGTCTGAACTAAAGATAAGTATCATGATTTGTCCAAAATTTACAAACAGAAAATCAGAAAAAGGTGCATATCTCCGGATAAATGGTTAAAACCAAAAGTTAACAACACAGTACCCAAGATACTCCTGTGTGTACAAATTATTTTCAAATATGAGTGAAATACCAAGGAGTGCTTCAAATAGGTATATATCAATAATCAGAAAGACATAATTACTGGTACAAGAAAACCTTATAAATGCAAAATTATTTTCTCAAGTCCACATTTACATATACATGCATACAAATGTAATTACCAAGTTTTATACTGGAGATAAATGCTTATGTGGGACATTTTTTTATCCACAAGAAGGACAGAGATATGGCTGGACAAACCAATTCCAGCATATCCAAGACTCTCCAAATTATGTCTGAACATAAAAATATTTCATATCAAAGTGCCATAAAGATGCATTTCAATCCTCCATTGTAAAAAATCTGTAATATATGTATTGCTGATAGATATAATACAATAATACCAAATATTTATGTGTATTACCTTCTTCTTGCTACAAAAACACACATCGGTATGAGCATTCCAAGAAAGGCTGCAACAGCTAATAGCAATTCATCCCCGACCCCTTCTATTATGTTTGCTTTTCTCATGTAACTCGCCATGCCAGGGACCAATCACACTATATTATAAAAAGCGTGGTCTTCTTTCAGTCACTGTTGGATGAACATATTACTTTCTGAAAAACAAGTCATTAAGACTTATATATACAAATTATCAAAGCATGTAATGGAATTATTAAATAGACCACAAAAACAAATGCAATAGTTTCACATTAAAAAAAACTGGTAATCTCTTCAAATCATTGGCTGTATACTTTTATGAATGGTATCAAAAGGTTTCTTATCTGGATCAGTGCATACCATGTGAATTATCAAGTCATGAAAATCAGAATTTTGTTATGTGTATTACTATATTATATGATTAACAAGTTAGTTAAAGAAAGCAAATTGAAATGTGTTCTTTGCCCTCATGGCATGAATATAAACAAACCTATATATCTATCACAAGAGAACCTAAATTACTAGCAAAAAAAGTCTCATATGATTTCATAAACTTTTTAATTTACTTGATACTGATAAGAGAGATGCTATTTGGATGCCAAAGACACACAAGCGAAACTCTATACTTCTATCATGTGCACTGCAGGACTTGATGCAACAGAGAAAAATTCTTTCAAATATTTATATATGTATAATTGCTATTTGTTGTCAATTCACATGGTTCATCTAAATCCGTACCTAAAAATAAGTGTTGAAGTCACCTGAAATGTTGAAAAGTGTAACAAAAAAAATGAAAAAAACCGATAAAAATGCCGACTTATTTCAATGAATATAACGACTTGGAACTGTTCAAGATGTCATTAAATGTTTGATATACCCATCATTTACCCAGACGGTGACGTTTCAATCTTGTAGATTCGTATTTCGTAAGAGGAAGTACAATACATTGTACACGTATTCCTACAACCAGTGAGAATGTTCCGACAGTCCAGACACCATTCAATTGTGTCTTGACGTTGTCGTCAGTGATTCTAGGACTATTCGCTCTTTCAGGTCGATTTTCAGACACAACTACTGAATACCAAAAAACGATGATGACTGGTGGTCATGTCATTAAATTACATATCTATATGGTATTTTCGTATCGTACCTGCAATGTGATGTCATACTAAAACGAAAGTATTACAGGAAGTTACATGGAACCGGAAGTTGTTAAACATGTGTTAGCATTAAACTCGGTCTTGAATTTCGTCTCCGGACCCGGAGCGAACAGACATGATCATGAACATTTTTTGTTATCATTGTTATTCGGTGATACGACAATATTTAAACTTCAAGTCTAATTCATAATTTGGAAAAAAAACTAATATTTCGTTTTCTATGGTGAAGTAAATCGTAAATTATTCACTGGCGTAAGAAATACACAGTACCCAAGTTAGCCAGCATCAGATACTGATATCACCTCCATTTATATGTGAAGAAACCGGTTCGAAATTAACTTTAATATGTTGTGCATCACTTTTGATGAACCTAGACGTATTTAAATGAGCTACTAAATCGAAAGATCCTATAACACTCTTTATCCCGCTCGTTAATATGTTGTGTTAGAATCAGCTTGTCTGACTGTCTATCGGTAGGAAGGAAACTATCCGGAAAATTCTTCCTAAAGTTGTAAACAAATTCCACACGGCATTAAGTTTATTTATTTATTTATTTATTTATTTTTGCAGCTAGCATTAAAACTAGAACTGTCATCGTGAGAATAACTTTGGCCCCAGTAGACGCAGAATGTTTAAACATCAGTTGTACTATAGTGTCACTAGAGTAACACAAACATTTAAGGTAAAACATTGAATTTCCGTAGATATGTACCTACGGGGTCATATTCTAACCCAGTTATCAAGGGAACCAAAGTTTTCTGGGGAAAAAACGACAACAAAAAACAAAAACAAAACAAAAAAGAATCTTCATGTAAATCTTCATAAGGCCTACAACATTTCTGTTTAGTTTAATCGAAAATAGTTCTCAAGTTTTGAAGAAGTATGGACAAAATCCTATAATATTACGTTTTGAAAAAAATATTGTCACTGTAAGTATCATTCTTCAAAATCCTTATAGGTCTATATCAATTTTCATACAATTTTTTATTTCGACCCATCAGAATCCTCATTTTGTTTCCATAGTAACTGTTTTAGAAAATATCAGATGTGTATTATAGGCTTTGATCAAGTTTTACTAAGTTTCATTGAAACTGATCGAAGGACTGATGAGCTATTAGTCATTGCACAAAAATCTGTGTATAGTGACCTCGCTTCCATGACAACCAACATTTTTGTTTGAAAAACCTGCACCCACATGTAGATACGGTCTCTAATATTGGGTGGAAGTGTGGCCCTAGGGTTTTTTAGGCCACAGCCACAGCAATGTGGTTTGACCATTCCTGTTGAAGCAGCCTTCTCCCTCGTTGTTTGCAAGTAAAGGGGAAGGGTCCTTGCGGTGCCATGCGTGGTATCGTTTCTCTGGTAGCACAGAACGTAGGAACTCGGTCTGTAACATTGCTTTGAGAATTGAACACAATGCAACCGCAGGTTTTTTGACCACCAGCATGTTTAGATGTGCCTGAAATGGGACAGCAGTCATAGTTGGAGACGCATGGATGATGTACCAGTCTCATATTGGTTTCACACCTGATCAATCGATGACCATTTGGATGGTGTCTATGTCACAAGAGCTCCTGTGAGGCATAACGTTGGCAAACGTTTTGCCTAACTGTGGCATTGCTTTGTTGATCGTAATGGATGCCCTTTTGGCAGGTACAGCTCGTCCTTTAGCAAATTCGGCATCGGATCACGAGGACAATGACGAAGATAATGTTTACCTACAGATGAAGGTATCTGTAAGGTGACAGAGATACAATTATCAGGTCTGTGTAGAAGTTAGCAGATGTTGAGGCCATCTGACGATCGGTCATGCAATATGTACGTGAGCTTGCCAACACCCCGTTGCGAAAGAGAATACCCTGTACCGTTGTCGTTGAGAAATAAATGAGAAAATTTGTGATGGGACATCCTCCCTCATGTTTGGTTCTGACGATGAGAGGATGATGGACTTGGTGGCGTTGGAGAAAGACTTATCGCAACGGCACGTTGGTGAGACAACTGAACAAATTTCCGGGGTATTGCAGAGATATGCGCACAAATTTGGGATGTGTTGTGATAAGATTTTCTGCTGTTCTTATGTCGCCCTTCTCATGACTCACATGATCCTCTTGTCACCGAGGCTCAGACAAGCGTGATTAAACTTAACCACGCGCTACTCTTTTGAACTACACGTATATTGCCTGGTTATTACGGGGAAGAGTATTGTGAAAGTAGGTGTAGATTTGACAGTTATATTTGAACTTGGCTCATGTCAACTCGTCCCGAAGGTGATAAGTGACCGCACATTAAAGCACTCACGGTGGTGTACATTTGTCGAGTTCTAGAAACTATGGTGGCTGATTCGGGACATCGTAATATCGCTTCGTTTAATAGGAAGCGAGATTGCGACATCACGATACCACGATGCGATATCACGATAGCAAGAAGCGATAATACGATAGCGCGATGCGAGACCACGATAGCGCGTCGTGTTATCGCTTCTTGCTATCGTGATATCGCATCGTGGTATCGTGATATCGCAATCTCGCTTCTCATTAAACGAAGCGATGCTACGATATCACGATTCAGCCACCATACTATGTACTTGTTGTAACATATAATCTCATTGTGAGTCATCACAGTAGCATGGCTACAGAATATACAAGTCATAAAGACTATTTTGGTAGATGTTTGGTAAATAATGGACGTGTTAATGTCCACTATTTGACCTAACTGTATTCCAAGTTTGGTTAAAGGTGGGCGAATACTATTTCAGCAATAGATCTAGATGCAAAACGTAACAGTATGTATATACAGACTTTTCGTCGCAGACGAGACGATATCAGGGACAATGCGTGCCCTAAATCTAGTCTGCACGTTTATTCAGATAAACCGGTTGTGTTCAAGCTTCTTGGGTATTTATTAATGCACACAAGACATCTGAAACAGCATCAGTTGCTCTGTCGTCAGTCAGTAGCAGCGGAAAATATAATTGCCAGACTAGTTTCTATGTAAATTCTATCGGGAAAATTTCAGTGATGTGGTCAGGCTCAGGACATGAATTCTACACGTGTATTTAACAACTACACCGAAGTATACTGCCATGGTCTGTTATACTGACAACGGGCAACAAGTCCTTACATTGCCAAAATACTCATCCTGATACAGACTGATACGTTTCAACCAGGGGACACAACCCGAAACCTACTTCGCGGGACGAACGCTGTAAGTCGGACAGTGTCAAGGGAGACATTCGGAAGAATAATTATCTATAGAAAGGACAGGAGATATAAAGATTCTCAGTTTAGTCGCGTCTTGTAATGGGGGTAGCAGGTAAAATTTTTGCTCGTCTGCTGGTGTAACTGTTACTAAGTTAGCTTTTCAGAAATCTACAGTGAGAACTGACGAGGAATGCCAGCTTGTAAATGTACGATTGCTAATAATTTTGAAGCATTCAATTGTGTAACGTAGCATGTACCTTCAAAAAGATAGGGCCTTGTGTCTTTTACTATTTTGTATAATATCATAAAGCAGCACTTCATCAGAACGGCGTGACTGTGACAAAATGGCTATTGTTTGACTCTATTGAGCTAGAACGATTTGTTCACTTCATAGAACAGCCATCTTGTTGGAAAGCCTATCCAGTATTATAATTATGACGTCTTCAGGATGATTTCGTCCACTGAGATGGAAATCACACCAAAACAACCACAGATTAGACAATAATGTAATGTTGTGATATGATGGACAGTTTTATATATCTTATAACGTTCATTATATCTACAGGATGTATATTTCATATGTTCTGTAGATTTAGAGGTACATCGCATTTGTTGATTTTGTGAAAGACATGAACTACATTTATTGTCCTATATTAGCCGTATGTCCACAAACGTTAATGGGTATGTATGATCCGCGATAACATTCACGGTTTGGATTTTTAACTAAGTGAATATCTTTGTATAAGTATGTGCTAAATGGGGCTAGTTGACCTGTTTTGTACACAACAAATAAAGATCTCAGCCCGTCAACACGTCGGCGTGTCACCACTCAATTTTATTAGCAATTTCGGGAACGATGTTAAAAAGGTCGAGTTTATTGTTTCATTTTGCTATTGTGTTGTATTGTGTTGTATTTAGAACTGTTCAGAGTACACCAGAAACAAACATTAATAAGCGTTACAAAAGTAATAAAAACAGGTGTTTATAACGAAGGTGTACGAGGAATTCAGCAGATATCTACAACAAACAAACAAACAAACATAGGAAGTGTAATTAGTTGAAAAACTTCTAAAACTAAAGTGATCCTTTGTAAGTCTTTATTAAAAGATGACAAGAAATGTAAAATGTGTGTACTTCGATACCAAGGTATGAATATTCAAACCGATCTAATCAGGAACATTTTCTTTCATCGAGGCATACATTACTTATAAAGTTACTCACTTCCATCAGGGTACACTAGTAACATTTCTTGCGAAAACCGGGCGAAATTATTTATAGATTTTAAATATTCTACAATCTAGACTGACAAATGATCCAATGTACCATACGAGTATAACTTATGTTACTCAACTCTAGAATTCTGTTAATACCTTTTATAGCCAAACTGAACCATTTTATTACGTAAATTAATATATGTTAGGAAGTGAGGTGAAGGGAACAGCATTCCAACTTGTCAGATTTTCAGTCTAATGTGATTGATGAACCTAATTAGTTTCTTGTAGGATTTCGGGGGGGGGGGAGAAAGTAAACAGAAACTGAAGTAAACAGAAACTAATAGTACTCTCGGTTCTAGTCTTGTCAGTGTCCACTCCAGCGTAGGTTGTGTCCCTCGACTGGAAAAAACCTAATATGATATGATGGACAGTGTCATACTACCGTGTCTTGGTTATGACATTTCAGTGTGATGACGCTATGCAAGTGTCCCTATAGGCAATATAACGTGACCGAGTGTCGTGGTGCCGTGTCCAGGTTATGGCATTTCAGTGTGATGACGCTATGAAAGTGTCCCTTTGGGTCCTTGCTAAGGTCACATTCGCCACACAACTGTAAAAGTTTTGGAAATAAAAACTAGGACTTCAAAAATGTCCAGAATACTGTTGATACAATAAAAAAAAAATTTTTCCTTTGTAACTGACAAAATAAACGTGTCCATGGAAACAGCAAAGTGCATATCGAAATTTACTTACTATATAGCTATGATGAGTCCTGTCACTCCCCTGTACTACTTAGTTAAGACATTTTAATAATGTACAGAAAGTGGGAGGCCCATAGCATAAACTCAGGTTTATAATTGTCACTGTAACATAATAGGACGAGTTCGTTACATTGCAATTCATATAGACCATATTTACATAAAGATCGTCTGAAATCCCTACAAGCATGCCCAGAACAAATAATTTAAGAGAAGACCGAGATGTACCCGGTTCTAATGTACATTGACGTCCGCTAAATCTCAAATCTAACACCTCGCCCCTGGCATTGTTCGCGTCCATAGAGTCATAAAATTGTGGATCTCAACATTCAAACACCTTTCAAAGGGCGATAAACAGTCATTTGTGTTAAAACCTTTACAAATGTATCTATCTTGCTAAATGAAAAGAGTGGGATTCTACACCGCTTTGTCGCCATTGAATGTGTGAAATATTCCGGTGGTATCGTTGTGTATCTAGTGTTTATCCTCCGTCGACTGTTTCCGTTAGATACCGCGAGATCTGATAGCCCGTAACTGATACTCGTAAATAGACACTATTTTTGTCCGGACCCATTTTTTGTTCTGTACCGGATTGATTTGTACAGTAAATCAGTTAAATATGCTGGGCACGTGTTACTTTAACTTATAAAGCAGTGCGGCAATATAGAGCTAGTTTACGGTTCGGATTTGCGAGTCAAGTACTATTTAAACACTGCAAGAGTGAAAAATTGTACAATAATCTAACTACGTGAATCAAATTTGAAGAAGTTTCAACGTCTTCCGAGTGTTTCTCAAAAAGATCACAGAACAACGGAGTGGTAGGAATTATCTATCATATTGTGACAAATGAGCTGTATTGCTTTGCCGAAGAGAAATTATATCCAGTGTTCCGACTTGGGATGGTTGAACCGTGAACAGCAGTTGCTGGGAAAAGAAAACATCATACGCTAACAGTAATACTGTTTCTACGAGGTGGATGTCAGTTATCGAGTTGTGTATACGGTGAAGTTATAGGAACTCTCTAGTGGAAATATAAATTAATCGAAAATGAGTAAAGTTATCAAAAAGACTGACCGTAAAAAATCGATGACGCGCGGTGATGGCGCGAAGTCTGCCCGGAAGCAAAGTCTGAACGCGGAAAGAAAGCAAAGCATAAAAACAACGTCAGAAAGGAAATCTAGTGCAGATCCTGAAAGAAAACAAAGTTTAATGGCGGCAGAGAGAAAATTAAGCATCAATTCTGACGAGAGAAATTCGTCGATGGATACCGGAAGAAAAACGTCGACGTTTGCCGAAAGACGATCATCACTGGTCGGCGATACTCGGAGAGGGTCGATTTTAGAGCCGGCGATTGGACGTTCTGCGCTGATAACGACGTCAGCACAAGGGCAACGTCCCGTCAATATAAAATTAGAAAACACCTACAAAAATCGACCTGACAAAGTTGTCCGGAATGACGATATCAGGACGTGCATCAAAGATGTGTTCGAGAAGGAATTACACGACAAAACCTACAACCAAGATGAATGCTGCATTCTGTCTAAAAGACTCGCAGAAATAATCAAACAGAACGTGAAATCTTTGGTACAGCGGTATAAGATTATTACTGTGGTAGCCCTTGGTCAGCGACAGGACTATTCGCCCTCAGTCGCGTTCACTAGCCGCTGTGTGTGGAACGCAAACTTTGACACATTTTCGGAGTACACGTACAAAAATATGTCGTTCTACGCTGTGGGGCTAGTATATGTATTGTATGCGGAGTAAATCAAGGTATTTTAACATCTACTGAGTGGTGGTAAGTCCAGCAAGTCGAGATGGGGTGGATCTGTTTGTAAAATACATTATCAAAACAGGAGGATATCATAGCTGTTGTCCATATATTTGTGGCTTAACTTTGGTATATATATATTTTTTCTTTTTTTTTTTACCCTTTGCCGGCATTTGAACCACGATAACAATTGACGGAAAGAATTTAAACATATTTTTTATATCGGAAAATGCGTTATTGGGACTTGATGGAGAATTGCCGTCACGGCATTTATATTTTGAATAAATCCCTACAACTTTGTCTAATATCAATGCTAATCGTTACTAACTGGGGTATGATGGTCGTTTACAAATAAACACAACCTTAAACCAAGTTTGTTTTGTTAAACACTTTATGAAACAACACAACAGTCTCAGGTGTGCTCAGTTTTAGTGTGCTGTTAGAGCTATCGTGGTTTTGTCTTTGTACAAGACACTTTTGCCTCACTGCTTCAGACATTATGCGGCGAGTCTCTCGCAGTTCAGTAAGGTAGCCGGCCGCCATTAAAATGAGACCCTGCTTCAAAATGATTATGAGTGTTACGTACCCAACGAATGATATCAAGCTGCTGTTTGGGCGTTTTAAATCCCATGTACTTTTGTGATAAGCCCCCTTGCTTTTATTAACATAATTTATCAAAGTGATACTGATACACTACAGAATCATCCGCAGACCATTTATATCGGACAAATTTTTTTGTGGTTGGAGCTTACGGACATGAAAATAAGTTTTGACTTTTGATAGTTACTATTGATATTTCGGTTCAGGATTTATCCGTATAAAGATTGTATATAGATGGTACAAGTCCGATACCAATATCAGAAACACTACCAGTCACGGTCTTCAATTGGTAAGTATATCAATTAGCTGTATGTATATTGATATACTGATGTCGATCTCGACGTAACCACACAATTAAGTGTGTTGTGAGTAGACGGAATATAGTCATGTTACGTAATATTGGTACCTGGTGCCAGATTAACAGATTATTGAGGGATTTGACTGACGTTGGAAATTAACTGTGGATTGGGGGGGAGGGGGGGGGGGTCATCGGCTGGGAAGATGTCTCAAATCTTATAGACAGGCAGCACCTCTCTTCAACGACCCCAGTAATTTAGCATTCCAGAAAACTGCCGTCACTGATGATGAGAGGTGGCGTCAAATGCATAAAAACAATGGCGTCCTTAAATTGGCCCTGAATGGTGTGAAAGTTTGGTAGGGTCGTGACAACATAAAAAGTGGGAATCAGATGGGGTCGGTTTTATAGCTTGGGAAGGCTTTGGAAGTATTGTGGGTCCTTCTTTATTTTAATTGCAGAAGGAAACGAAGTGGGATCAACAGTAGAATGTGGGAATGTGTTAGAGCGGGTATTAGCTCTAGAACACTAACGATACGTTGTAAAATTGGTAGGTAGCAACAGATGGGTGTAGTAATGTAGTGGAGTCGGTTAGTAGCTGTAGAACGCTGTGGGAATGTAGTGGGGTCGGTAAGTAGCTGTAGGACGCTGTGGTAATGTAGAGGGGTCGGTTAGTAGCCGTAGAACGTTGTGGTAATGTAGAGACGTCGATTAGTAACTGTAGAACGGTGTGGTAATGTAGAGGCGTCGATTAGTAGCTGTAGAAAGCTGTGGGAAAGTAGAAAGTAGAGGGGTCGGTTTGTAGCTGTAGAACGTTGTAGTAATGTAGAGGGGTCGGCTAGTAGCCGCAGAACAATGTGGTAATGTAGTGGGGTCGGTTAGTAGTTGTACAACGGTGTTGTAATGTAGTGTGGTCGGTTAGTAGCCGCAGAACACTGTGGTAATGTAGTGGGGTCGGTTAGTAGTTGTAGAACGCTATGGTAATGTATAGGGGTCGACTAGTAGCTGTAGAACGCTGTGGTAATGTAGAGGGGTCGGCTTGTAGATGTAGAATGATATGGTAATGTAGTGAAATCGGTTAGGAGTTGTAGAACAATGTGGTAATGTAGTGGGGTCGGTTAGTAGTTGTAGAACGCTGTGGTAATATAGTAGGGTCGGTTAGTAGCCATAGAACACTGTGGTAATGTAGAGGGGTCGGTTAGTAGCCGTAGAACGTTGTGGTAATGTAGAGACGTCGATTAGTAACTGTAGAACGGTGTGGTAATGTAGAGGCGTCGATTAGTAACTGTAGAACGGCGTGGTAATGTAGAGGCGTCGATTAGTAGCTGTAGAAAGCTGTGGGAAAGTAGAAAGTAGAGGGGTCGGTTTGTAGCTGTAGAACGTTGTAGTAATGTAGAGGGGTCGGCTAGTAGCCGCAGAACAATGTGGTAATGTAGTGGGGTCGGTTAGTAGTTGTAGAACGGTGTGGTAATGTAGTGTGGTCGGTTAGTAGTTGTACAACGGTGTTGTAATGTAGTGTGGTCGGTTAGTAGCCGCAGAACACTGTGGTAATGTAGTGGGGTCGGTTAGCAGTTGTAGAACGGTGTAGTAATTTAGTGGGGTCGGTAAGTAGCTGTAGAACGCTGTGGTAATGTAGTGTGGTCGGTTAGTAGTTGTACAACGGTGTTGTAATGTAGTGTGGTCGGTTAGTAGCCGCAGAACACTGTGGTAATGTAGTGGGGTCGGTTAGCAGTTGTAGAACGGTGTAGTAATGTAGTGGGGTCGGTAAGTAGCTGTAGAACGCTGTGGTAATGTAGTGTGGTCGGTTAGTAGTTGTACAACGGTGTTGTAATGTAGTGTGGTCGGTTAGTAGCCGCAGAACACTGTGGTAATGTAGTGGGGTCGGTTAGTAGTTGTAGAACGCTATGGTAATGTATAGGGGTCGACTAGTAGCTGTAGAACGGTGTGGTAATGTAGAGGGATCGGCTTGTAGATGTAGAATGATATGGTAATGTAGTGAAATCGATTAGGAGCTGTAGAACGCTGTGGTAATGTTGAGGGGTCGAACAGTAGCTGTAGAACGCTGTGGTAACATAGTGGGGTCGGTTAGTAGCTGTAGAACGTTGTGGTAATGTAGAGGGGTCGGTTAGCAGCCGTAGAACGTTGTGGTAATGTAGAGACGTCGATTAGTAACTGTAGAACGGTGTGGTAATGTAGAGGCGTCGATTAGTAGCTGTCGAAAGCTGTGGGAATGTAGAAAGTAGAGGGGTCGGTTTGTAGCTGTAGAACGTTGTGGGAATGTAGAGAGGGCGGTTAGTAGCTGTAGAATGCTGTGGTAATGTAGAGGGGTCGGTTAGTAGATGTAAAACGTTGTGGTAATGTAGTGGGGTCGGTTAGTAGCCGTAGAACACTGTGGTAATGTAGAGGGGTCGGTTAGTAGCCGCAGAACACTGTGGTAATGTAGTGGGGTCGGTTAGTAGTTGTAGAACGCTATGGTAATGTATAGGGGTCGACTAGTAGCTGTAGAACGGTGTGGTAATGTAGAGGGATCGGCTTGTAGATGTAGAATGATATGGTAATGTAGTGAAATCGGTTAGGAGTTGTAGAACAATGTGGTAATGTAGTGGGGTCGGTTAGTAGTTGTAGAACGCTGTGGTAATATAGTAGGGTCGGTTAGTAGCCATAGAACACTGTGGTAATGTAGAGGGGTCGGTTAGTAGCCGTAGAACGTTGTGGTAATGTAGAGACGTCGATTAGTAACTGTAGAACGGTGTGGTAATGTAGAGGCGTCGATTAGTAACTGTAGAACGGTGTGGTAATGTAGAGGCGTCGATTAGTAGCTGTAGAAAGCTGTGGGAAAGTAGAAAGTAGAGGGGTCGGTTTGTAGCTGTAGAACGTTGTAGTAATGTAGAGGGGTCGGCTAGTAGCCGCAGAACAATGTGGTAATGTAGTGGGGTCGGTTAGTAGTTGTAGAACGGTGTGGTAATGTAGTGTGGTCGGTTAGTAGTTGTACAACGGTGTTGTAATGTAGTGTGGTCGGTTAGTAGCCGCAGAACACTGTGGTAATGTAGTGGGGTCGGTTAGCAGTTGTAGAACGGTGTAGTAATGTAGTGGGGTCGGTAAGTAGCTGTAGAACGCTGTGGTAATGTAGTGTGGTCGGTTAGTAGTTGTACAACGGTGTTGTAATGTAGTGTGGTCGGTTAGTAGCCGCAGAACACTGTGGTAATGTAGTGGGGTCGGTTAGCAGTTGTAGAACGGTGTAGTAATGTAGTGGGGTCGGTAAGTAGCTGTAGAACGCTGTGGTAATGTAGTGTGGTCGGTTAGTAGTTGTACAACGGTGTTGTAATGTAGTGTGGTCGGTTAGTAGCCGCAGAACACTGTGGTAATGTAGTGGGGTCGGTTAGTAGTTGTAGAACGCTATGGTAATGTATAGGGGTCGACTAGTAGCTGTAGAACGGTGTGGTAATGTAGAGGGATCGGCTTGTAGATGTAGAATGATATGGTAATGTAGTGAAATCGATTAGGAGCTGTAGAACGCTGTGGTAATGTTGAGGGGTCGAACAGTAGCTGTAGAACGCTGTGGTAACATAGTGGGGTCGGTTAGTAGCTGTAGAACGTTGTGGTAATGTAGAGGGGTCGGTTAGTAGCCGTAGAACGTTGTGGTAATGTAGAGACGTCGATTAGTAACTGTAGAACGGTGTGGTAATGTAGAGGCGTCGATTAGTAGCTGTCGAAAGCTGTGGGAATGTAGAAAGTAGAGGGGTCGGTTTGTAGCTGTAGAACGTTGTGGGAATGTAGAGAGGGCGGTTAGTAGCTGTAGAATGCTGTGGTAATGTAGAGGGGTCGGTTAGTAGATGTAAAACGTTGTGGTAATGTAGTGGGGTCGGTTAGTAGCCGTAGAACACTGTGGTAATGTAGAGGGGTCGGTTAGTAGCCGCAGAACACTGTGGTAATGTAGTGGGGTCGGTTAGTAGTTGTAGAACGCTGTGGTAATGTAGTGGGGTCGGTTAGTAGTTGTAGAACGCTGTGGTAATTTAGTGGGGTCGACTAGTCATAATACAACACAAGGCATTTTAAAGTGCCGAAAAAAACAATATATTAAATTCATCAAGGCACCATAAT